CTACCTTACAAGGTTGTTGTAAGAGAATGTACATGGAGCACCTTAAAACATTCAAAAAGCCACTCTATGAATGCTGAGGTGGTGTCAGAGACTGGCTAGCCAAGGAGGAGTGGTGGCTACCAGTTGTCTAGGAGGTACCACTGGGGAGGGGGGAAATTTTGAGTTTGACTCAGACTGGGCCACAGAGGGAACCATCAGGAAAGTCTTGGAGCCATAGAGTAGGGGCGAAGGGGAGAGGCACAGTGTGGGCATAGATCCTGATAGGGAGAGAGCAGAGGATACATCTTCCGCATTGCAGGACAATCCTCTTCCGGCCCCTTCTCCCCCCCTCCCTCAGCTCAAGAAAGGAGAGCTAAAAAACAGAAAGGGCAGATAAGAAAAGCTGAATGATGCCGGAAGAATGTACAGAGAGAAACGCTTAAAGGACAGGAAGGGTTTCCAGCTTCTGCAACTTTCATATCTTGAGCGCCTCGGTGTCGGGTATCTCTGGTTGCGAAGCAATCAAGTTCTTTGCCTTCAATCCGCGTGCCTCTTCCTGATTTGCAGCCCAGTCGGCAAGGCTATTCTGGCAACCTGACAGGTGGTAAGCACCTTCCTTCTACGGCAGGCATGGCCAAACTTGGCCCTCCATGTGTTTTGGGACTACAATTCCCATCATCCCTGACCACTGGTCCTGTTAGCTAGGGATGATGGGAGCTGCAGTCCCAAAACATCTGGAGGGTCATGCCTCTTCTACAGAATAAAGGACTACTTGCACACCAAGGGAGTTACAAAGAAGTTTGATATTGGCTGCTGCGTTGTAGCACGTTGATAAACCACATGTCTCTATGTAAACCAACCTTCCTTCACCTGATTCTCCGTAGACGTTTCGGACTGCAGCTTCCATTGGTTCCAGCCAGCACACCCACGGAGCGGTTGCTGATGGGAGTTGGAGTCCAAAGCAGCTGGAGGGCATGCCAGGTTAGGGAAAGTGGCTGTGAACTTATTTCTCATTTGCCCTTCTTTGATTTCAGGCTGGGACGTGGAGAAAGGGAACCCCGATGGGCTGCAGCCAGACATGCTGATCTCTCTCACTGCGCCCAAGAAGGCCGCAAAGCAGTTCACCGGACGCTACCACTTCCTGGGCGGCAGATTCGTGCCTGCAGCACTGCAGAAGAAGTACTCGCTTAACCTCCCAGAGTACCCAGAGACAGACTGCGTTCTACGGCTCTCCTAGCCACTGCACCCCAAGCTGGGGAGACATCTGGATCAGAAGAGGAATTGAAGTTAGGTTGGGTTAATGTTCGGTGGTTCATTATTTGGAGTTGCAAGTTAGGCCTTAAGAAGTAGCCTTGGATCGTAAGTGGACACACAGCAATTGAGAGCAATACGGGAAGAGATCAGAAGATTAGGGCGACAGCTTTAGACCAAACAAACCAAAAAAGGATGCCTTCCATCACATTGCAAAGTATGATTATTGTTTGAGAAAAGGAACAACAGTGCAGATATGGGGAGCCTTTGGCCTTCCAGATGTTGCTGAACTAGAACTACCACTACCACCTTCCCTGGCCGTCGGCCATGCTGGCTGGGGCTGATGGGAGTTGCAGTTCAGCGAAATCTGGAAGGCCCCTTAGGAGAATCTCATTTTTTTCCTTTGTGCAAGGAAGAGACTGTTTTATAGACTGTAACGAACTGAGAGAACTTTCATTTTCCTTCAATAAAAATGGTGTGATTAAAAAATAACTTTGCTTAAAAAAACCACCACCCAACTGTTGTTGTTGTACTTGTGGACATCTTTTAGGGCAGAGCTGGGCAGCCAACTGTGCATGGGCCAATCCAGCCCAGCTCCTTAGGTTGGGGCAGCTCCATGCCAGAACTCTACACTTGCTGCACACAAGTAGACTCCACCGTGGGAGCAGGGCCAGGGCGGGAGAGTGCTAGAGTCCTGTCTAGTCAAGTTGTGTGGGATCAATTCCAATCTGTTACCTCCGAGGATGTGGACAGGCTGCTTGGATGAGTGAAGCCAACCACCTGTCTCCTGGATCCTTGCCCATCCTGGCTTATAAAAGCTAGCTGGGAAGGACTGGGCGATGGGCTTCGTGGGGTGGTGAATGCTTCCCTCCGTGAGGGAGCCTTCCCAGACCTGCTGAAAGAGGCAGTTATTAAACCGCTTCTTAAAAAACAATCTTTAGATGCGGCCACGATGGCCAATTATCGCCCAGTCTCAAATCTTCCATTCTTGGGCAAGGTGATTGAGCGAGTGGTTGCTGAACAACTCCAGGCACGCCTGGAAGAAGCGGACCATTTGGATCCCTTCCAGTCGGGATTCAGGCCTCATCATGGGACTGAAACTGCCTTGGTCGCACTGGTTGATGATCTCCGGCGGGCTAGGGACAAAGGTGAGAGCTGTTTCCTAGTTCTGGATCTCTCAGCGGCGTTTGATACCATCGACCATAACATTCTTCTGGACCATCTTGAGAGGCTGGGAGCTGGGGGCACTGTCCTACAGTGGTTCCGCTCCTTCCTCCTGGGCCGTGTTCAGAAAGTGGTGTGGGGATGAGTGTTCAGACCCCTGGGCTCTCACTTGTGGGGTGCCTCAGGGTTCTGTCCTCTCCCCCATGCTTTTCAACATTTACATGCAGCCACTGGGAGAGATCATCAGGAGGTTTGGACTGGGTGTTCATCAGTATGCGGATGATACCCAGCTCTACCTCCCTTTTAAGTCAGAACCAGTGAAGGCGGTGAAGGTCCTGTGTGAGTGTCTGGAGGTGGTTGGAGGATGGATGGCGGCTAACAGATTGAGGTTGAATCCTGACAAGACAGAAGTACTGTTTTTGGGGGACAGGAGTGGAGGATTCCTTGGTCCTGAATGGGGTAACTGTGCCCCTGAAGGACCAGGTGCGCAGCCTGGGAGTCATTTTGGACTCACAGCTGTCCATGGAGGCACAGGTCAAATCTGTATCCAGGGCAGCTGTTTACCAGCTCCATCTGGTACGTAGGCTGAGACCCTATCTGCCTGCAGACTGTCTCGCCAGAGTGGTGCATGCTCTGGTTATCTCCCGCTTGGACTACTGCAATGCGCTCTACGTGGGGCTACCTTTGAAGGTGACCCGGAAACTACAACTAACCCAGAATGCGGCAGCTAGACTGGTGACTGGGAGCGGCTGCCGAGACCATATAACACCGGTCTTGAAAGACCTACATTGGCTCCCAGTACGTTTCCGAGCACAATTCAAAGTGTTGGTGCTGACCTTTAAAGCCCTAAATGGCCTCGGTCCAGTATATCTGAAGGAGCGTCTCCTCCCCCATCGATCTGCCCGGACACTGAGGTCCAGTTCCGAGGGCCTTCTGGCGGTTCCCTCACTGCGAGAGGCCAAGTTACAGGGAACCAGACAGAGGGCCTTCTCGGTAGTTGCGCCTGCCCTGTGGAACGCCCTCCCATCAGATGTCAAAGCGATAAACAACTACCTGACATTCAGAAGACATCTGAAGGCAGCCCTGTTCAGGGAAGTTTTTAATATGTGACATTTCAGTGTATTTTTTTATCTTTGTTGGAAGCGGCCCAGAGTGGCTAGGGAAACCCAGCCAGATGGGCGGGGTACAAATAATAATTTTATTATTATTATTATTATATTATTATTATTATTATGAAATGGGAGAGCGGAAACACTGGACTTGTGCGTGGAGGAAAGTGCCTCTGCTGGATATTGGCTACACCAAAGGTCCCTGTTGGGCTAATGCCCTGATAACCTACTTCTGGGCTTCCCAGCGGCCAATGGATGGCCATTATGAAACACGGGGGTTGTAGCCAACATTTGTCCCATTCGGAGCACATTCATTTAAATTAGTAGACTGTTGTATCTGTTGATCTCACTAGGATTAATGCTGGATGGAACCCGTATTCACACGTGTAAAGTACTTTAAACAGTCATGGCTTCCCTCAAAGAATTCTGGGAGTAGTAGGTTGTCAAAGGTACTGCGCGTTGTTAAGAGACCACCATTCCCCTACCAGAGTTCCCATGGAAGAGGGTTAAACCACTCCGGGAACTGTAGCTCTGGGAAGGGAATCGGTGTCTCCTAACAACACCCAGCACCCATAAAAAAAACAACTACAACGTCCATGATTATTTGTGGGGAGCAAACAGGACTGTTTAAAGTGGTATTGTGGGGCTTTAACTGTATGGTGTGAATGGGCTCCATGTTGGGACTTTTGGTGTGATGTAGCAGTGCTGTTATGGGATGCAGGTGGTGCTGTGGGTAAAAGCCTCAGCGCCTAGGGCTTGCCGATCGAAAGGTCGGCGGTTCAAATCCCCGGGCGGGGTGCGCTCCCATTGTTCGGTCCCAGCGCCTGCCAACCTAGCAGTTCGAAAGCACCCCCGGGTGCAAGTAGATAAATAGGGACCGCTTACTAGCGGGAAGGTAAACGGCGTTTCCGTGTGCGGCTCTGGCTCGCCAGAGCAGCGATGTCACGCTGGCCACGTGACCCGGAAGTGTCTGCGGACAGCGCTGGCCCCCGGCCTCTTGAGTGAGATGGGCGCACAACCCTAGAGTCTGTCAAGACTGGCCCATACGGGCAGGGGTACCTTTACCTTTAGCAGTGCTGTTTCTTCACCTTCAAGCAAAATTGAGCCATGCACTGTTACATTTTTAATACCCATTTACCTAACCTCCTAGAGCAGGTTTTGACCAGACCCAGGGGAGGTCTGTTCCCTTTGTAAAAGGGATTCACTGGATACAACCCCCTGCTTCTCTCTGTGTTTTTCCACCTTACTGTTCCAGCTGCCAATTCTTTACAAGAAAAAAATTAAGCAGCCAGCCTCCACGATACAAAGTGTGCAAATGACCTTAGGCTAAAGCAGGGGTCAGCAACCTTTTTCAGCCATGGGCCGGTCCACCGTCCCTCAGACCACATGGTGGGCCAGACTATATGGGGGGGGGGGGATGAATGAATTCCTTTGTCCCAGAAATAACCCAGAGATGCATTTTAAATAAAAACACACATTCTACACATGTAAAAACATGCTGATTCCCGGACCATCCGAGGGCCGGATTGAGAAGGCGAATGGTCCACATCCGGCCCATGGGCCTTAGGTTGCCTACCCCTGGGCTAGAGGGTGCTGTTGACACAGCAAGTTTCTAATGTGGGACAGCAGCGATGGGATCCAGCAGGAACTGGGCTCTAAGAATTTCAGCTAGCAGAAGACCACCACCACAATTCCCTTTGCTATCACCCCACTTTCATTTTGATTTCCTCTTTGGCTTCCCTCTGTGACTGGCCATTTCTAAAGTCCATTTCTCTGCAATTTCTACCAACGGTCCTTTCTTGCTTTCTCCATCCTCCCGGTGCTTCCTTTTCTTCTTCTTCTTCTTGTTGGGTTTCTCCTCCTCTTGCTCTTCCCGGGGATCCTCATCTACTGTCACTTCCAAGCTCTCATGAATCGCAGCCTCGCCTTCTCGTTCTTTGCGTTTCTTGGCTTTCTTTGGCTGTGGGCTGCTGCCATTCAAGGCAGCGTCAATTGCCTCCTGCTTTCCTCCCTTTTGCTGGACGTAGCGAGCCAAGAAAGCTTTTTCCTGTTCCTCCAGCCGTGCCAGCTTTGCTGTCATGGTTAAGCCATGCCGAGCCCCTCTGGAGAGAGCACAGAAGAGACATTGAGAATGGCAGTAGCAACTCCAGCCACCAAAACTTTCTTAAGCTTCTGAACTTTGCTCCATGACTTCTCCAGGTTCTGCAACTGGTAGACATGGGCCAAATATGGCTTGCGGAAAAGTGTCACTTAATCCACCAGTGGCCAGTGTAAGAAAATAGAAGAGCTTCACCTACCCCCATGCACTTAACACCACCCACTTCACATCTAGCTGCAGAGAGGCCTTCATCAACCTGGTGCCACACAGATAATCTGAACTACAACTCCCATCAGCAAAGGGAGGGGGGAAGAAGAGTGTGTAGTAAAAAATATCTGAAGGCCACGGGGTTGGCGAAGGCTGTTCTAAACACGTTATTTATTTCATAATATTTGTATACCACTTGACAGTAAAAACAAAACCTCAAAGTGATTTACCAACAGAATAAAACAATAAAATTATGAGTAGAGCCAGCCATTTAAAACATGCAAATAATTAAAACCAGCAGTTAGCTGAGAACAGATTAAAACACATGTAAACATTCTACGTAGGCTAGTCTAAACAAATGTGGTTTTAGCAGGCGCCAGAAAAGAGTATAGTGAAAGCGCCCACCTAGTGTCAATAGGAAGAGAGTTCCAAAGTGTAGGTGCTGCCACACTAAAAAAAATTGATTTCTTACAAATGCAGAATGGGCATTAACGTGAAACCTGTAACTCTGCCAGTTCCGCAGATCAAAGTGGTGGGCATATATGAGGTATGGCGATCTCACAGGTAAACTGGCCCAAGTTGTTAAAACTCAACCCTCCCCATAAAATTGGGGGTGCATCAGCCAACTCTCATACCATACTCACTTATGGGCTGTTCTTCCTCCACAGGCCTGGACCAGCTCTTCATCAGTCAGCCTGGGAAAGAGAAAAGCTTGTGTTAAGGAGTGACCAGCCTGCAGCTAAGGAGAATACACACACACACACACACACACACACACACATCATTTTCTTGCTCCCAATTCAGCCCCTCGAAGCTAAAAAAAGGGGGAAGTGTGGTTAGACCTCGTTGCCAACCAAGTGGATCTAGGCCAACCCCACCCCTGGTTACCTCCTGGCTGTAGATAGGTCCAGTTGCTCATCTTCATCCTCTTTGTCGCTATCTGAAGAGGAGAAGACATATACAGGCTCTTCTCCACCAGATGTCAATGTAGCTGCCTGGAAGTGGGGCATAGATAATAATAATAATAATAATTTTTATTTATACCCCGCCCTCCCCAGCCAAGGCCGGGCTCAGGGCAGCTAACAAGCAATAATAAAAACAAGTTGAATGAATACAACTTAAAAACAAGATTAAAATACAACATTAAAATATTAAAATGCAGCCTCATCACAGGAGGAAAAAGAAAAAAGAAAGAGGGGTAGGGAATCAAATTGGCTCCAAGCCAAAGGCCAGGTGGAACAACTCTGTCTTACAGGCCCTGCGGAAAGAAATCAGATCCGGCAGGGCCCTGGTCTCATGAGGCAGAGCGTTCCACCAGGCCAGAGCCAGTGTTGAAAAGGCCCTGGCTCTGGTTGAAGCCAATCTAACTTCCTTAGGGCCCGGGACCACTAGGGTCTTGCTATTTATGGACCTTGAGGCTCTCCGTGGGGCATATCGGGAGATGGGTATAAGGTGGCCAAAAATGTATCTTTACTCACTGTTAAGCCACATTCTGACTGGAAATGGCCCTTCCATAGGAGATCACTTTAAACTGGGGGTGTCTGAGCCCAAAACTTCCTGCATGCAGCGCAGGGGCTCTTCCAGTGAGCTACAAACCATTCCAAACACGCCAAGCCCCACCATCAACACTACAAGTTTGAATCTTTAACATCTCACTACCTTCACAAAGCGCCCATAGACCAAGTTCTTCTCCCCGTGCGCTTTACGGGGCTTTTTATTCGTTATCACTCCATCTTGCTCAGATACCTTTTTCACTTTGACACCATCCTAGAGGGGAGGAAGAAGAGAGGGGCAGCTGCATTCAGAACTCAAAGCCTGGAAAAGAACAATCACCGCATGGCAAGCCCTTGCTGTTGGGAATAGGCAGTGTGAGGAGGCACCTCTCTTTGGGGCAGGGGGGCAACTCAGAAACCAGGGGCGCCAGCAGTGGCTGGCCAGAGGACAGGGGAGAGGAGGCTGATCGAAAAAGGGTGAGAGGCTGCCAGCTCTGCAGGAAAGGGGTGACATAACTGGGCTCCTGAGCCCCACAGGGGTGACGCAAAAAGAAAGTAGTTGGACAAGGGAGCAGTGGACTCAAAAAAGTTGAAAACCTCTGACCTACTGTATAAGTTTCCACACCATGACAAAACCCTGGGCCTTCCACCAATGCCAAAGCCCAAAGTTGTATGCCCTCTTTACCTGCCCAGTCTCCACAGCAATGTTAGCAGCAGATGAATTGAAGAGGTGGTCCCACCAATGGAAGGTGAATTGCTCAGCTGGGTTGTGGCCCACCTGTGTTGGAATGAAACAGAAGTTATGGGCTGTAGACTCTCCCAAAGTAGTGACAGCCACTTTTGCCCACAAGTTTGAAGGGCCCCAAAGGCTGCCAACACCATATCCCAAACCAAAGAGACAATTACACAGTAGCCCACTGCCTCCCTCTTATGACTCCCTCTCCTGCATTTTGAAGCTATCTGTATTTTTAAAAATTTTATTCTTGTTTTGGCCAGGAATTCTACAACTATAGACGCTTCTCAACCGATTTTAGCTAAAACAAAATCTATTCTATGATGTCTGTTGCCTCTGATGAAGAGTACTTCACACCCATAATATGTTAATCAACAGGGAGCACTTTTAAAGACCCTTTTTCCAGCTCCTTCCTTCTCCACTGAACTTGCTGATCAAAGATTCAGCCTCCCTAATCTTTTCTAAACCCACAGGCTCAAGATCATAACCTTCCTTACCCCAGCTGAGTCACACTTGACTTTGACCTTTATGGCTTCAGAGATCCCATTTTCTCGCTTCCCAAGTCCTTTGCCTAAAATAAAGTTTGCGAAGAGTGGAGTCACGGTTAGGAGAAAGAACAAACAGGAGGCAGAGTTCTTTGCAGCTAATGAGTTCCAAATATCATTCCAAAAAAGCAAGCAGTTAGAACAGTGGTTAGTATTTAACTGGCACATGTGGTCTGACCATAACGAGAGCTGAGTGCATGCCATAACACTACACACACAGAAAAAGAATATGACACTGGACTGACAAAAGCTTTAAGGTCTTTAGATAAACACTTTCCTGCTTCTCACCCTGCTAGTGTGTGTGAAGTTGAAACACAGGTTTTGACTAGTATTTCTCCACATCCCACCCCATCCTTTTGCCCCATGCTGTGATGAATCTAATGTTGCTCCAGTTCTATACATATACATTAATGGGGGGGGCCTGAATGTATCCAAAAGATCCCCATGAACAAGCCCCACCCACTTACCTTTCTTCCAGCCATGCTTCTTCAGTTGCTTCTCTGCAAATTTCAGCCCTTTGCTTTTATTCTCCTGAGCAGTGTCATTCATGATAGAAGCTGGATAGACACATATGGAACATAAAGAGGCTGCGAAATAAAAGAGCAGCAGACCTGTGCCTAGAAACACGGCACAAAAGGAAGTCTGAATGAGCCCTGACTGGCTGTCCCTCTCCAGGATTTTAGGCAGGGAGTCCTACCCCAGCCCTACTGGGCATGCCAGGGATTGAGCCTTCTGCATTCAAGGCAGATACTGTGCTACTGAGCTACAGCCTTTCCCCAGAAGAAAAAGAAAAATTACAGCCCTCACGGTTCTGAATAAAGGACTGATTTAAATAGAAGCCCAGGAAGCTGCCTTATACTGAATCAGACTCTTGGCCCCCCTACCTCAGTACTACCTACACTGACTGGCAGCTGCTCTCCAGGATTTCAGGCAGGGAATTCCCCCCCCCCCGCAGCAGCCAACTTGGGACCTTCTGCACGCAAACCATAGCCTACCATAGCCCTACACAAGGAGGAGAATTACTGTACTTAGCTCTCAACGACCTTAATCCTGCAGAAGGGAACTCAAACGCTCCAACCAGCGACCCTCCACTCTGCCCAAAGGCGGAATAGCCTCGGACTGCATTCCCGCATCTCTCCAGCAACCCCCGCACACAATAAAAAGCACCCAGCTCACCAGTACTCCAGAAAACGAAAAAACTCCAGTTGCGGATCACTCGGAATTGCGGCGCTTCACTTTTGATGCAGACACGTGATCAACACGGGTGCGGCCATCTTGACAGGAAGTAAGATCCTTCCCCAGCCACGCCCTGGCTGCAAAGGATTGTGGGTGAATTGAAGGGAGGGGACCAAAGGGACCAGCGAGGAGGGTTAGAGCTGCTTGTTTAGGGGCCGTGTTGTATTTAGCGCTGGATTGCTGCGCGTTTAAAGGGTTTTTTAAATAAATGATTTTTGCTACTGGCTTTTCTCTGACTGGCATTATTAAAAGCTTTATCGCTGTTAGAGAGCAGCCCAACCTCTGCAATATACACCTGTCGGGTGACAGTTGCAAACACAAGCCTTGCTTTTTAACACCTTTATTTTTTATTGTTTCATGAAATCTATATACACCTTGATTGCAAAGCAGTTTGCAAGAGGAACAAAACAACAAAAGTATCAGTAACAACAGCTGTTTAAAAGATTCAGAAAAGAGTAATGAAATCATCAACGAGCTTAAAACATATATCAACATTATTCATATCTGGATAGGCTGGCATTAACAACAATTTTATCAGGCACCAAACATAGTGTGGTGAGGGGCCCTGTTTGCTATCAATAGGCAGGGAGTTCCAAAGTGTGTGTCCTGCCACACTAAAAGTTCAATTTCTTACGAATGCGGAATGAGTGTTACGAAATGAGTGTTTGCTATAATCCTGTCTAATTAAATGTGTGTAATTAAATGTGTTTATATCACTCCCATAGGCTTAGCTCAGTTTGGCTTAATACACAGAAGCGCCTTCTTTATTGCTAAATATATTCAAATATTATGTAGCAGCAGTTAATGGAATAAGCTAACCTGGTGACTCGGTAGAATGGCTTTAAGAGGATTAGGCCCAATTCATGGAGGAGGCAATAGCTATGTTCTTCCTCCACTATTGGAAGCTGTATGCCGCTGAATGCTGCAAAAGATTTCTTGCACCCAGGTACTGCTTGCTGGCATCACAAGAGGCCTCTGCTTGGCCACTCTGAGAACAGGATGCTGGATGAGGTGGACCAATGGCCTGATCCAGCAGCGCTTTGCTTATGAACTTACAAATGTCATGGTGATTTTAATCAATCAGATTGGGTAGAATTTTGGATATGAGTTTCTCGTCTTACTTTAGGATTGGGACAACAGGGAGAGGGGAATGTTCAGCCACAACAGGGGAAGGCTGCCAATGGAAGACAAAGAAGGTCATTCATTTATATAAACTTTTTAAGAACTGTACCACATGCTCCATACATTTCCTTGAGCTCGGAAATTCAAGTGGCCATAAACCAAAAAAGCTAAGTGTTGCATGGAATCCATCTGGAAGATGATGATGTGTCACTGGCACACCATTGTCCAATAACCGCTTCTTGTACAACAGCCCATCATCCCGGAGAATATCATACTCGCAAGTTAGAAGGAAAGTCTCCGGGAGCTGGCGGATTATGTCATCCTCTACTACAAGGGGGCAAAACATTGCCTCACCAGCTCTTTTAACTTGTTCATAAAGTTCTTCTGAAAATGGGGCAGGAGCATTAGGGACATAGCCCCTGGCCTTAAATTCTTCTGGAATGTTATCAGCACTGACCCATTTTTTGTACTTCTCCCTCATATCAGTAGGGATATGGGCACCTTTTATAACTAGGTCCACATTGATCTCCTTCCCAGTGAGATGTGTCAAACCAAGTTTGATAGCTCGTTTTCTGTACAAGAGAGGAACTGATTGGTTTTGCTGATAGGATGGCAAATCAAAGTCCCCTGATTGTAGAAATGGGTAGATCAGGACCTGAGCTCGCAGTCTTGGGAGGTCCTCTCTGGTCACCAGTTCTTGACAAATAGCTGCAGCAAAAGTGCCTCCACTACTGTCCCCAACAATGGCAATGCAGTTGGGGTCCACTCCGTATTCCTCTGCATTCTTCAGAAAGTGTATTGTAGCAGTTAAACTGTCCAGTACAGGGACTGGATAGGGATGCTCAGGAGCTAAACGAAATCTAAAGAGAAAACAAGATATCGCCCACAATCAACACCATACACTTCATGGAAAAAGACCATTTTCTGTAATGGCATACTGCAAGTGCTGAGAATCTTTTTCACCCCTGGGGCCACATTCCTTTCCATGCAACCTTGTGGGGGCCACATGCCAGCTACAGGTGGACCTGAGGCAAAAATGGAAAGCAAATGCAAACTTTCCCTTTGGATGAATAGGCGGTTTCATTACAACACACCTTTCTCTACCCTCCAGCTCCTTCCTTCTTGCATACCCCCCCCCTCATTTCTCCCATGAAAATAGGGGCATTCTATTCCATAATGATAATAGATTAGTTATACCCCACCCATCTGACTGGGTTGCCCCCGCCACTCCGGGCAGCTTCTAACATATATAACAACGTAATAAAGCATTAAACATTAAAACACTTCCCTATACAGGGCTGCCTTCAGATGCCGTATCTCTTATCTCTTTGGCTCAGGGGTTGCATAATTCCAAACACTCCCAACATTTCTCAATGAAAATAGGGATGTCCTGAAGAAAAGTGGGACATTCTGGGATCAAATCAGAAACCAGGATGGCTTCTGAAAATCTAGGACAGTCACTGCAAATAGGGGCACCTGGAGGGTCTATTCTTGTTTTCCTCTGTCCGTTAGCAGGTTCCGGTAGCATCCTGTGCATCAGTGAAGTTATAATCCCACTACTAGGTATCTACCTGTCCTCCATCCACAGCTCACCTGATCAGGTTGGCAAGACTACTAGCAATTGCTAATAGCAATGGATACTAGTCACAAGGATGATGTGCCACTATGAGAGGCAGTAATGCTTCTGAATACCAGTTGCTGGAAACAAACTGGGGAGAGAGCTCTTCTGCTCAGGTCCTGCTTGTGCGTTTGCCATTCGGGCATCTGGTTTGCCACTATGAGAACATGGTGCTGGACTAGATGAGTCCCCTTTGGCCTGATCCAGCAGATTTCTTACTATGTTCAAAGTCAAAGGGATTTGAGCTAGAAATCTAAATACAAAAATGAACACCCATTCTAAATGTTGGCAAAATCACTATGTTTACAACTTTATAAAGCTGGATGGCATTTCACCCACTGAACTTGAGTCCCAACAAGACAGAAATACTGTTTCTGGGGGACGGGCTGGGTGGGTGTGGGGGACTCCCTGGTCCTGAGTCGGGCAACTGTGCCCCTAAAGGACCAGGTGCACAGCCTAGGAGTCATTCTGGACTCACAGGTGTCCATGGGGGCACAGGTCAGGTCTGTGTCCAGGGAAGCTGTCTACCAGCTCCATCTAGTAGGCTGGCTGAGACCCTACCTGCCTGCACATTGTCTCAACAGGGTGGTACATGCTCTGGTCATCTCTGGCTTTGGCTATTGCAATGCGCTGGATGTGGGGCTCCTTTTGAAGGTGACATGGAAAGTACAACTAATCCAGAATGTAGCAGCTAGACTGGTGACTTGGAGCAGCCGTCGGGAGCATATAACTATGGTCCTAAAAGAGCTACATTGGCTCCCAGTACATTTCAGAGTACAAATCAAAGTGTTGGTGCTGACCTTTAAAGCCCTAAATGGCTTCAGCTCTGTATACCTGAAGGAGCATCTCCACCCCCATCATCCCGCCAGGACATAAGAGATCCAGCTTTGAGGGCCTTCTGGATGTTCCCTTACTGCTAGATGTAAAGCTACAGGGAACCAAGCAGATGGCTTGGTTAGTGGTGTCCGCCCCATGGAACACCCTCCTCAGACCCTCCAAGTGAGTCTATTTTCTAGGGACAGTCCCGGATTTACAGCTGTCCCGGTTTCTGATTTGATCCTGGAATGGCCCACTTTTCCTTATGATGTCCCTATTTTAATCCGATAAATGTTGAAGAGTATGGTAAGACATCAGTATTTTCATCGGAGAAACATTGGATGCTATGGTAGGAGGTCCCTATTTTCATCGGAGAATTGTTGCTGGGTATGTCAGAAGTCAAGGAGATGAGTAACTATGTAACCTTTAGAAGATATTTGAAGGCAGACCTGTTAAGGAAAGCTTTTTAATGTGCAATGTTTTATTACATTTTTATATATGTTGGAAGCCACCCAGAGCGGCTGGGTGGGGTACAAATAAATAAAATAACATAAAATAAAATAAAATAGAATAGAATAATTCCTCTGGGATCAGGTCTTAGGAAAGGTTAGAAGCTGAGGGGCATTACACGGCTACCAAGAGAGTGAAACCACTTACCCAACACTCACAACCACTGAATCACTTTGGTTGGCCATGAAACGGCAGATCTTTTCAGAGGCTCCTGGAAGAAAGCAAAAGCCCCCCCCCAACCTCCATTACAATTTTTCCTGGTCAAGAACACTGATATCATTGTGAGCTGAAGTCTGTGTCAGTCCTACTAAAAGTAAATCTGTTGAAATCAAGAGATCTGCTTATTTATTTATTTTTATGTCAGGGACGCGGGTGGCGCTGTGGTAGGGACGCGGGTGGCGCTGTGGGTAAAAGCCTCAGCACCTAGGGCTTGCCGATCGAAAGGTCGGCGGTTCAAATCCCCGCAGCGGGGTGCGCTCCCGTTGCTCGGTCCCAGCGCCTGCCAACCTAGCAGTTCGAAAGCACCTCCGGGTGCAAGTAGATAAATAGGGACCGCTTTCTAGCGGGAAGGTAAACAGCGTTTCCGTGTGCGGCTCTGGCTTGCCAGAGCAGCGATGTCACGCTGGCCACGTGACCCGGAAGTGTCTCCGGACAGCGCTGGCCCCTGGCCTCTTGAGTGAGATGGGCGCACAACCCCAGAGTCTGTCAAGACTGGCCCGTACGGGCAGGGGTACCTTTACCTTTACCTTTATGTCATAAAATGTAGATGCCACTTGATTAGCGAAAACAACAACAACTTTTAATAGAGCTCAGTTGGGAAAAACTCAGTTGAACTCTTTGTAAATCACTAGCTAAAAACCATTCTGTGGGTTTTACTCTCTGCTGATCAGTAACAGAACAAGCAGTGTCAATGGGTAAAAAACAAAACAAAACTTCCACCCACATTTCTGGGCTTCTTTCCAGTTATTTCTGATAATCTCTGGAAGCCATTTCATAGAAGTCCTTTGCGGCATGAAGCAGATACATCTTCTTTGACATTTTAAGGATATTTCATTGAGTGTGATACAGAACTGGTCACCTTTGTAACAGGGGGCCTCTCAGCCCCATTTTCTTACCACACAAAGACATCCTACATTAATCTTAAACTGTCAACAGCAGCAGTATGAAGCACCCCACCTCTATGTAGCAAACATTTTGGGAACTTTACATTAAAGTACCACCCCAAATTCTCCACAAACCACTTGGTAAACCTTTGTGAGACTCTTTCAAAGAACTTACGGAAGCTTCCAGTGAGTCCAGCGCCTCCATGAAGATAGATGATTCCTCTCCTGTTCCCAGCAGCTGGTGTCTTGGGCCAGTACACCCTCACTGGCACCCCATCAAAAACCAGGTCCTTACTGATCAACTTTGAGTCCTTTCCTGTTAGTATGGCATTGAACGCAATCCTCCAGATGATGTATCTATGGCAAATGCCCAGTTTTTCCAGAAACAATCCCTGTTTAAATCAAAACATTCAGCATAACATATATGTACATAAGAATGTAAAAAGAGCCTGTTGGGCCTGGCCAATGGCCCATCTAGTCCAGCAGCCTGTTCTCACAGTACCTGTGGGAAACCTTCAAGCAGGATCTGTGCACAGGAACCCTCTCCCAGCAAAAGGTATTCAGAAGCATTGGTGCCTGTAGCTTTAGAAGCAGGGTATAGGCATGGAGACTAGCAGCCACCCAAAACCTCCTCCTCACTGAATTTATCTAATCCTCTTTGGAAGCTATTCAACTTTGTTTGATGTATTACAGTATTTTAATATTTTTTGGGGAAGCCGCCCAGAGTGGCTGGGGAAGCCCAGCCAGATGGGCAGAGTATAAATTATTATTATTATTATTATTATTATTATTATTATCTTGGTAGCCATCACTGCCCCCTGTGAAAGAGACTCCACGTCATCCATAATTTCACAGACCTCCATCCTGTCGCCAGTTGCTTGCCTTTTCTCTGAACTAAAAAATCCTGAACATTGTAGCCTTATTGATAAGGAGGGTGGGTCACTCCATCCCTTCGATTGTGATATATTCAAAACAAACTTACCAGTCCAAGTGTATATTCCATTGCAAAACTGAAAACTCGTAATTTTATGCCCTGGCTGATTCCTGGAGGAATGTGGGTCCTTTTAAAATGATAATAGACTCCCCATGCAAACAGCAAGGAATGAATGAATGAAAATGTATATAATATCAGCATCCACAGAGTTCCACCAAATGCCATTTCCCTTCAGCTCAGAAGTGCAGAGGTAGGGACTTCGCCTGAGCCGATGCTTTTGTAAGGACTTTGTCTGGGACAATGCTAATTGTATGAGACTAGTCTTCCTCCATGTGCAAGAGAACATCCTCGGCCAACCCACATAGCTTTCAATTGAGAAAATATTTTATTAATCTGTTCAGATTGCAGTCTAGCCTGGATTACTGACTGCTGCGATTGTTCCTCACACAGGGTGTGGCTGTACCTTCCCATTCCTCCTCCAGAGAGAAGAGGTGCATGGGATTTCCATAGACTCTGAAGGCCAAGCATCCTTCTCTTATGATAGGCACCACCTTTGCAACACATCTTCATTTTTAGGATGCTTCCTCTCCCACACAAAATACTTCAGCATCTTTCATCCCCCATGAATTGGGCAGCTCAGGTGATCAGGGATGGCACATCTATGCAGGTGTGGCCATGGGCTGCGGTGGGGGCAGACCGCCCGGGTGTCAAGACTGAGCGGGGTGACAAAACGGCACAAACAGTATTCCGCCTTGGCTCTTTTCCCCGCCTTCCCACTCGCCCGCCCACCGCTCCCGCCTTGCCTAGTCCTTCCTCTCCCTCCTGCGCCCGCCCAGCACGCAGTTCCTACCCGACTCCCCTGCTTTTGCTTTCACGGTGCATCCGCCTGCATGAAAGGGAAAGCAGCGCAGGCCTTCCATCTTGTTTCCTTTTATAGACAGGCAGGTGCCGGGCCGCAGACTAGCCTTGCAAACGGAGAGAGGAGCTTTCTGCCAACCTCGGGGCACTTTCCATACATCCACACAGCCTCCCTCGGGGGCGAAGTTGCCGGCTTCGTTGCCTTAAGGGTTAAAGCTAGAGAGTGCGAGCTGCTAGAGAGAGAGAGAGAGAGATGCTGGATGCTGACTTGGGAAAGGGGGCGCGGCCTCAGAAGAACAGCTGACCCGTCTCCTCTGCCGTCGGGTACTGCAACGAGTCGGGTGAGTGCAAAGCACCTTGGGTTGCAGCAAGCTTTGGGTGTGTTTGGGTGTTTGTGCAATGCAATGCAATGCAATGCAATGCAATGCCCGTGGAATTGGGGTTAGGGGTGGAGAGAGAGCAGGCAGGGAAGCTGTGGGTCAGGTGGGGAGGGGGATTGCAGCTGATGTCAAAGAGAACAACAACTACCAGACTTTTAGAAGACATCTGAAGGCAGCCCTGTTTAGGGAAGCTTTTATTGTTTGATGTATTAGAGTATTTTAATATATATATATTTTTGGAAGCCGCCCAGAGTGGCTGGGGAAGCCCAGTCAGATGGGCTGGGTACAAATAATAAATTATTATTATTATTATTATTATTATTATTCATCCTCGTTGCAAAGAAGAGACGGGCTTCGCTCTGAAGGTACTCTCTCTCTCTCACACACACACACACTCACGTGTGTGCGTCTGCGTGAACACACAGATCACGTGAAGAGCCCTGTAGTTTGATCAGGCCAACGGCCCATCTAGTCCCGCACCCTGTTAGAATCATAGAATCTTAGAGATGGAATAGAATCATAGAATCTTAGAAGATGGAAGGGGACCCTGAGGTCATCTAGTCCAACCCCTGCAATGCAGGAATCTCAGTATCGTCTCCTCGCGGTGGCCAAGCCTGCAAGGAGGATTGGAGCCCAAAGGCATCTCTCCCCTCCAGCGGCTCCTGGCAACTGCTATTCAGTTAAGTGTAACAATAATTTAACAACAACTTGGGCAGCTCCCCACAGAATATTTTTTAAAAAACCAATCAAACATCAAACATTAAAAGCTTCTCCATACAGGGCTGCCTTCAGATGTCTTATAAAAGTCAGATACAGTGGTACCTTGGGTTAAAGATGCTTCAGGTTGAGCGTTTTCAGGTTACGTTACACAGTGACTTGGAAGTAACGGAACGGGTTACTTCCGGGTTTTGCCGCTCACACATGCGCAGACGCTCAAAATGACGTCATGCGCAGAAGTGGCGAATCGCGACCCGTGCAGACGCGGGTTGCGTTCTGCTCAAGATGCAAACGGGGCTCCAGAACAGATCCCTTTCGCATCCAGAGGTACCACTGTAGATGTTTATTTCCTTGACATCTGACGGGAGGGCGTTCTACAGGGAGGGCGCCACTACTGAGAAGGCCCTCTACCTCAGTGTTTCCCAAACGTTTTTGGGCAACGGCACACCTGTTTACTGAAAAAAATCTCGCGGCACACCACCATTAAAGCCCCGCCCCGTGACGTCAGCGCGCAGCGTCACGCCGGGAGGGACGCACAAAAGTGAAAGTTTTTTCCCTCCCCTTGCTGGGGAACCTCCAAGCTTTGGGGGTGGGAGGAGGCAGCAGAGCGAGGGACTGAGGGACGGCGGCAACTGAGGCGGTGGCGGCTGAGGCAGAGCTGGGAAGGGGGTTTCCAGGGGACACGGCAGCTCCTCGAAAGGCTTCTCTCAGCTGCGCTCAATCCGCCTCGGAGAGGATTTCCCCTCCGGTCCCATGCGTTCGTTTGGGGCATCGCTCCGGCTGCTCCCTCTCCCGCCGCGCAGGAGCGATGCCTCTCTCTGGCTCTCCCTCCGCGCAGGCTGAGGGAGGGAGGGAGGGGCGCGTGTGACCCGTCTCTGCTGGGAGACCAAACCCAGCGAGGCAGAGTCGCGCGGAGGCGCCCAGGCAGCGCTGCCGGCTGCGAGGAGGAGCGCCAGGCAGCAGCAGGAGGCGCGGCCTCTCCTCGCCGCCGCCGCCCCGCCTCTCGCCGCCCGACTCGCCCGCCTCCCTCCAGGCATCTCGCGGCACACGAGGCAACGTCTCACGGCACACTCGTGTGCCGCGGAACACCGGTTGGGAAACACTGCTCTACCTGGTTCCCTGTCACTGAGTTGATACAGAGCGTCTATCCTAAACTGTCAGCTTCTCAAAGAAGCAGGATCAGGAAGTTTTTAATGTTTGATGTCTTATTACGTTTTTATATTTTGCTGGAAGCTGCACAAAGTGGCTGGGGAATAATTTATTATTATTATTATTATTATTATTATTATTATTATTATTATTACTATTATACCACCTGTTCAGTCTGAAAAGTTATTTGTACCAGTGCATTTGGAAGCATCAGAATAACTTGAGGTAATATATTCATACAAAACCTTTGCTCCCAATTCATCCTTTGCAATCCTACCGGCAGAATTTGATCTGAGTCCTGGGATAGCTCAGTTGGTAGAGCATGAGACTCTCGGGGTTGTGGGTTCGAGCCCCACCTTGTCAAAAAGATTCCTGCCTTGCAGGGTGTTCAGCTAGATGACCCTCTTGGTCCCTTCCAACTCTGTGATTCTATGGTCTATGAACCTCACTTATTCGCAATGAGGGAACCACCACAATTTTTTTTTAAGCAACATTTTATTAGAAGTTCGGCAGCCCACCTTTGCATAATAGGAGTTTGCCTTTGTAAAATTGGAGAGCGAAAGGAGAAGGAATCTCAGGGTGGGAACATGATCACACATATACCTGCGCCAAATATGAAATCCAGCGTGTGGCCTGCTTGATGTGTGGGGCCCGAAACAAACTGGGAGAGTGTCGCCATGGAAGACACCAGGTCCAAAGCCTGTGAGGAGGGAGTGGCATCAGCATGGATGTTGCAGTCCCCCAATACCAATACCTTAGGGAACTCCAAGGCCCAGCCGGCCACTGCCTCCAGTAGGCCTGACAGGGTGGCTGCTGGTGCGCTAGGTGGCTGGTACACCAGCCAGACAGCCAAGCTCTCCTCAGAACCCCACACTAGGCCAACACATTCAGTGCTGGGGATCGATGGCGAT